GCAAAGTTATTATAATGTTAACAGCAACAGTTTAGTTTCTATAAATTTTTATGTACCATTTTTTTGTAAGGTGGAATACTTATTTTGTTTCATAAATTAAAGTGCGATTTATTTATATTTCAGTCAGGTTGCTGTTGTCCGAAACCAATCTAAAAAAGGTTTTCAAATATTATATTATCTTATACATGCATTTTACATAATTTCTTTATAAATCTTCTCAATTGAATCAAACATTGGGAATGAGAAATGATGGCTAATATTAAATTAAGTAAAAATAATTTTGTATATTAACAATAAAAATTGAATAAAACTATATTAACTTTAATATTGTGTTTAATTTCATAAATATTTAAATAACAAAAAGTGAAGGAAGTGCAATGACACTAACATTATTAAGTTAATTAAAATATGTTCACAACCATAAATAAATATGTCTATTACATTTCATTATTAAAATATAGGTAGATGATAGATATTAAAAATCGTAGCGATAATAATAAAAATTGTGTAGTTGAAATCAATATTTATAAAATATAATTAAATTTTGAGCTTGAAGCAATAACAAGTCCGAATCTTAGCAAAAGCTATTATTAGAAATCTAGCAAATCTGTAATTAAAAGCTTTATGATATAATATGTAATTCTTTTGTAATCAATAAGACTGACGAACATTATAAGGCTCTAAAATGGCACAGTGTTTCATGGAGACTATTTCAAAATGGACGGTTGCTATGTGTAGTATGAATTTGAGAAGCTGGCGTGCTTTATAAGTATCTATTAGAAATATATTTGAAATTCATATAATCTAATAGGACTTGTCATATAAAAATCTACTTGGGTCACCGGAGGTTTCATTTAATGCTCAATCGGTGGTCCCTCGCTATATATCTTGTCAAAGCTAATAATTGAATCTTACTAAGCTAATTCATGTTAAAAATCAATTCCATTTGAAGATCAAGTCTGATCAATGTCATCTTAATCTAGACCTACTTAACTGTTGAAACTACTAATAACAAGAAACTTTCATAAGAATTAGGTATATTTTATCTAAATGGAACTCAAATATTAAAACCATGATACATGTCAGGTATACTAATATATCTGATACATATTTAAATCCCAATAAACAAACGGTAATACTTATGCCATAAAAAAAACCAATTCTTATACATCTAAATAAAGAAGAATTTTCTTCTAATATTGCTCATTGTGCACATTTTCCCTAACTACATAAAATTAATGACTAGACTAATAACAGTCAATTTGTACGAAAACTTCCTTAACAACTATTTTTAAAAGCGTTTTTTATTAAATGACAATGTAGCATATTATGTATTTGAATATAGTTCATATTGAAAGGCCCCAATTTAAGCATAAAAATCTTAACATGATCATTTTAATAGTAAGGGCTCTAACAAGTCGTAATGTTGATTTAATTTCTATATTCACTACTTTCTATAAATATGAATTTGGTAAAATTTATCAAGTAATTACAACATTTATTGATAAGGCAGCAATAATAATATGTATTACATTACTTTGAACTACTGTAAGAGTAAGTTTTATATTAAATTGGAATGCATTAAAATTATCACAAATGATATGTAGACAAATAAATGAGATTAAATGTAAACCATCAGTCTGCAGCTGATACGTGAATGATATGTCCAAGTCCAGTTAAACAGCAAAGAAATATTTTAAGTCCATGGATAAAAATTTGAAAACAATACTGTCCCAATAAAATAATATCCAATGAAATAATACTGTATCATTCGTGATTGTAAATCTGGCATCTTTCTGGATATTATAAATGTTTTCCATTTGCTGTACATATTGTCAACACCTTCCAAATTGGCTATGGCTAAATGATGTGAAGGTATTCTCTTCCCTATTCCAATTCGTCTAAAATGTTCATTTATAGTATTCTGATCTGAGGTTGGTGTGGGACCAACATTCATTTTAGTTGAACATATCCAGTACAATATCGGACTAGCTGATGCCAAAAGTCTAGTGGTCACTTGTATATGCACAAACATTATGCAGAATACACAGAGAAATAACATATGCACAATATATACAAATACAATAGGATCATTGGCCCCAAAACACTTAGAATATTGCTTTGGCCTGTAAGGCATCTTATTTGAATACCCAATAATATTAGATCTCAATCCGAGTCTAAAACACAGTCTTATGTTACATATTACATAAGACAAGCAATGGTACATCACTAACACTATTATAGGTGCAGCAAGAATAAAGTTAGGAATCTGTTTCAATTTATAATATTTGAAGAAACCAACATTCCAGTAATGACTTTGTATATAAGAATATGACAATGGTAAAGTACTGTTACACCATGGACTCTCTGCACTACCAGGTAAAACATACTCAGTGGTAGACAAAAATTCTGGTAAATTGTGATCATTGTGTACACAATACTTCAAGTAATTATATGTTTGTACCAAAAGAAATGGCAACAGTGCTATGGTCACAGTCAAAAAAACTGATACAAGTGTTGTGAACAGTGGCAACAATAAGAATGGCAATATTATCTTATGTTTTAATGTCCTATATTTGTAAATAATTTCAGGTATAGTTCTCTCTATAACATTTTTAAAAGTTGCATAGAATATGAATCCTAAATTGACAGAACCATTTGACCGAGTGATCATGGAAAACCCGGCTGGTAGACCACTCATTATGTCAATGTTAGCAAACCTCAGAGTCTCGCTTTCAGTACACTTAAACATTGTATAAAACGACATCCATGCAAACAGTGATTCTGAATATGGTGCAGAGAAGAAAATACTTGCAGGATTAACACAATACAATATAACAGATTTATATGCTCTGCATTCACTGCGTAAAATTCTTAAACTCAGTCTGTGTAACACATCTGCTGATTTAATAAAAAATATAATATTTAAAATTGTTGCAGAAATTAACAAATTGCTATGAAAATTTAGCACTGTACCAAATACACTATTCAGTCCGTATGCAAAATATCTTACAAGTAATGGAAATAAAGGAAAGAATGCTAGACAATTTTCATATGTGTATCCAAACTGGGCAATATGTATAAAGTATTGGGCATCCCATCTTTTCATGCCCCCTAATAACTTATCGATGATGACATCCGCATTGGATTTACGTAAGTTTGGGTCTTCAGGGCTAATAAATACATTAGCATTATGGTCTGGTATGATAAGATTTGATATTGCTTGTAAGAAAATCAGTAGAATCCGAGTACTAAATGCAAACCATAAAATCTTCTGCCGTGGGGAATACATCTGAAATGCAACAATATTTTAGGCTATTTCTTTAGATGTACATAATACATACTTAATGCATTGTAAATAATAAATACCTTATCAATTCACTTTCTTAATTTAAGATTCCTCATAACTTAATCAATATCATTATTGTCAATAAATTGAAATTCATTACAAATTCCAAATCGTTCAGCTTTTAGGTGACAGTGACAGTGACGGCGTTCGCGTCGGCGAAATGTTTGACTTTGACAGTAATTCTCTTAACACTTAACAAACATTCCTTTAATCCAATTTGTTCCAATTTCAAAAACGAAACCTGACAATAAATTGACTATGGTAATGTATGAAAGGGCTTTTTGGAGGCGCAGTGGATAGAAACTGGGATAGTTGGGTTCCATCTTCCAATCCAAGCCTATCATCAATCTATATCATATGTAAATTTTATCTATTTCTACTGAGGACTGCTATAATACATCCGATACGGGCCTGCGGACGGCGAGCATGGGTCGCTCGCCGCCCGACCAGAACCAGAGCCGAGCTTACGGCGCGTCGCGTGCCTTAAAGAGCCTTCAGACCACCACAGATGGGGCCCAATAAAGCTGATGCCGATAAGGACAGGAGTAGGAACAGGGTGATAATTAGTCAGTAAGAGTCTGACACTCCCTCCTTCCCTTATACTTATTATACTCTTTACTCCCGCCACACCCAGGCGGGAGAAGTCATTCGATGATTTTCCTCAATACACATATTCGTTGCTTATCCAAAACATTTATTTCTTAATTTTATTACCTCTCACCGAAGACGTGCTATATCGACAGGTCATACTGAATCGTTCAGGTTTAGGGACTTGTATCGAGGTAACTATATCTCTTGTTATCTACGTTCAAGATCAAATAAAAATCCAAAGGATTATTTTAAAGTCAGAGGGCTAAGAAGTACATTTTACGGGCGCAGCATATTCGTTAAACTATAATACTAGAATAGCCACAATAGGAATAAATAAAACAATCGTATTTAAATTTATTTATAATAATTGCATTCTGTCACGTAATAATATTGTTACACCCAGATTCATACGATTTTAAACAATTCTAGCAGTCTAGAACACATCACAGAGCACACGCTTTTTTAATTAAAACATGAATTTGATAAGCCAAATCAATAACTACTACTTCAAAGTAACAAAAACGTGGTGTCAAAAGCATTTAAGCTAGCTATTAAAAAATAAAAGGAATGCGTAAATTTTTCTCATGTTCAAAATAAAGAGCAAGCCAATAAACATACGTCATTATCTAGTAGAAGAAAGGATATGTTTATAAATAAAGGTGCGCCTATGATCAATGCCTCTCTATACAAGAAATATTTAATACACAAAGTGATTCATCACTTCTGGGCAATTTTAACACATTTCCCTACAAAGATGAGCAACATTAGTACTCTTTCATACTTTTTACAACTTAAATTTAACTACCTATAAAACCACTACAATAGGCTACAAAAGAAAAGTGTAATATAAAAGTATTTTACCACCACAAAAAATAGATAAATATATTTTACATGGCTACAGACAAAAAGAACAAGCATAGACGGTATTGTTTTACAGGCAAGTTTTTTAAGTATATTTGGTTACACCAAGCATTGCAGTTATACAATGTTTTAAATTCATCTTAAAAAGCTGCCTGTATTATTAATAAGAGCACATATGAAGTAAAAGAAAACAATCGTGTTTTTGTCTTTTGTTATATTGATATATTTTTGTCCATATTCAACCAATATTCAGTTTAACCTGACACAATGCAAAATAATCAGTCAACCTTATATACCCCATTAAATTGTGACTAAAGTAAAAAATCACCAAGAAACTGAAATTATACAAAAAGTCAATTATTTTCGACAAAATGATAAACTTTTATTGTAAGTAAGTGCGTTTCTTCCACATATTTTTTTTCGAAGCAAATCTATTTACATAAACCTATTATTTACGTAATTCTACGCCAGTGAGTTCACATCGATAACATAGAGTATAACAAGAATACATTAAATTAAATCGTAGAAATATATTTTATATTCCTTTACAGTAGTATAATAAAAAAATGACGATTTCATCAGGAATCCTAGTGTTTTTATTACTTAATGTATAAACAACAATTTTGCGTATTGCCTAAAACAAGAAGGAATGAATTTTTATCATTACAATATTAATTAAAGGAAACTGAGACGTGCGTAACGACAAACACGGTACTAAATTTGAAGAGTGTTGTTACTGTTGAATTGTTGTCGCTAGCTCATCCTTACTTACACCATTGCATTCAAAACAAAATCAAGTGGTAGTGCTTCCATAAAATGACATTATTCAAAAACTATGCACATTTTAAAGTTATGTAACTCAAAAACTATGCACGTTTTAATGTTATGTAACTAAACTTGTGTGTGTTAATAACTATTGAAATTACCTTTTAATAAATACGAAGGTGAAGTGTATTTTCAATAATTATTACTTGTTGAAAACACACTATTTCGAATCCTGCCATTTTAAAAAGAGTAATTCAAATACATCACTCACACATTTTTTACCGAAACCGTAAACAATATAAATATGTAACTATAATGTTGTTACAAACTCACTTGGCACCATCAGCAAGCTGATATAATAGTCTATTTATTGAGGGATACGATGCATCAAAGTATTGGATAATTTGTAGCTGTATACTGTACCTAGCTTGTTTCTTTTGTATGGCGACCATCAATGTTAAGGGCCCAAAGCCATACCCATACCCTAAATATAATATCACGATATCTTACATACCACACGTGACCACGAGTAATTAAGCTTCAAACAATAAATAACTGTGATACAAAACAAAATGAACTTGATTTCGACCCGAATGGTAGTGAGATTGTAACTAAATTATAGTTTTAGGATGGTGTAAGCAAATCGTAGCCGCAGTAGTGGACGTCTAAGTTGCTAAGCGCTCGAGTGTTAGCTCATGGACAACTGGCCGAGGGCTAGTAACCTCTCCACCGCCGCGTTCACATCGCCGAATGTCGCGATTAGTGCTGAAAAAGACATAACATAGTCGTATTTAGGTTACAGATTTTGATATAAGTATAAGTAGTTTAGTATAGTATAGTTGATACAACTGAAAAAATATTGAATGACAGGAACAACTTTAGAAAAATTTTATGTGTATATTTTTTTATACCATGATGGGGGCAAGAAATGCACAAGACCCACCTGATGGTAAGTGGTTACTGTGACCTATGAACGCTTGGAACACATGGGGCGTTACTTATGCGTATATTGTTGAAAACTTGACAGGTATAAAGATCCTTCTAGCCCACTACTGTCAGCATCAGGATGTTTAAATTATTGTTTACCTTGCAGATTCGCTTCCCGGTTAAGGAAGCCCATAGCCGTAAGTTGTTCAAGTTGTTGCGAGTAGCGCTGCTCGGGCGGCTGTGATGAATTCGTCTGATTATTCGCCATGGCCGACATCATTCGCTGCATGAACTGTGTACGAAAAGTCATTTATTAATATTGGGGTACTTAACAGGCATGATCTGAAAACAATATACTTTTACTTATACATGAACTTGCTAATGTCTAATCTACTGGTAATTGAACTTAAAGTTTTACATGTCTACAGAAAACTACCAAAACTTATAGAATATACTATAATGCAACTATAATAACAATCGCTTTTAACCATGAAATAGAAAGATAATATACATATGAAAATAACACAGTTTCTAATAAGAATTATTCTAGCGATTGATTAAAAACAAGTGATCAAGTACCACATCGAAGTGCGGGCGGTGTGCGTATGACTGCGACGGAGCCGGCACATATAGACAAAGTATTTTATGTCTACCTTGTTAGTGATTTCACTGCAGTTAAGAGCAAATTACTCGAAACTTGTTGTGAAACCACTGTTTAATAATATTATACTGCAATTATAATTATAATAAGCGTTGTATTCACTTCAAGGTTAAGAATATCTATTTAAATTGTCTGAGAACTTTCTAGTTAAAAAATTGTTTATTAAATGACAAGACAATCGTTATTTCAAGCAGTGCAAATATTTTGCTATAGTAAAATATTGTCTTATATCTATATATGGACAATATTACGATTCATATCACTTTACTCCTGTGTGTTCAATACCTATTGGATTAATACCTATTTCTTACGATTAGTAAGTAAATTAATTAGTTGAACAAAAAGCATTAGACGTAAATGTTATGGATCACAACCTGCGTGAAGAGTTCAGAGTTCTGTTGTTGGCGCGGGGGTGCATTGGGCGGCGCGGCCGGGGCTGGCGGCGTGGTGGTGGGGGTGGCCGTGGCGTTGCCCACGCCCAGCCCCAGGTTGCCCACCAGTGACGGCGCTGCAGTGCGGAGCTGCTCCAACCCTTGCTGGATCTGGAGTAATGCGTTCAGGGCCTGTAACATAATCCATACATACATTAATAATATAAATTGACCTCACAAAGATGACTCATACAAACTTTGATAATGTTCATACAGTTTACTTATACTCATGTTAATGTATTTACGGGTCATTGTATCACCGTCGTCATCCAAAACGCAAGTTGAAGGAGCCGCATAAACATTGCACAATATCTATCTCAATATACTCAAAATAGAGTAATTTAATTTTAGGAGATTTTTGTGAATAATTTTAGTAAAAAATTGTTTATTTCGCCCAAACACTGACCTGTGGGTTGGACATCATCTGCTGCATTTCTGGGTTCTGTAACTGTGCTAACATTTGCGGCATCATTGTGCGGATCTGTTCTTGTAGCTGAGGGTTGTTCGCGAACATCGGATTCTAAAATGAAACAGTGTCAATTAGAAAACAAGGAAATCTGTTAAAATGAGAAATTTGTAAGGGTACGGAAAATCTTAAACTAAAAAGTAGTTTGGAATCAAAATCAAGCAAGATCACTTACTCCTTTTATAAAAAATATAGTACCTGGTTAATAAGCTGGGATGCCATGTCGGGGTCGGCAGCGAGGGCCTGGAGCATAGTGTTGGTGTAGGGTGCGGACAGCATGGACTGCACGAGACGAGGGTTCTCCGACATCTGCTGCAGCAGCGACTGCATGCCCGGCGTGTTGATGAGGCCGGGCCCGGTGCCCGCCGTCGCCGTGCCACCGCCGGTCCCCGCGGCCCCGCCGCCGCCGCCGCCACCACCACCACCGCGCTGCCAAGGGTTGGGTAACGGTTGCCTGTTCTCAGCTCCCTGTTGCGGGTTTGTACCGTCTATGGGAAAAATAGTAATTAATTAAGTTGGTAAATGACCTAATATAACAGAATGTCGTAATGTAAAAGTCATTAGCACCAAGTACAAGAGTATAAGATTCCATTTTTCTAATATTTAAATACTATATCTAATTTCCATTATTAAGTTATTGTAAGATTTTACAGTAACTTCCATAAAATAAACTAGTGTATTGAACTTGATAAATGCAACTCACCAGAGTTGTCAACTAGTCCAGAGAAGGGGTTGCCTGCCATACTGCTAGCTACATTCAACATTGGCTCTTGGATGTCTCTGTACATGCGCTGCAAAGCATTGTAGCCACCTGGAATAAGAAGAAGCAGAAGGATTATTTTTATTTCTCAAAAACAAAGAACAAGTATACCTATTATTTAATAAAATGTGGTAAACTAATGAATATACAGTAATCATAATCATAATATGCAGACCAAAAAATACGTAGTTTGTAATGAAATTTCCAAGTTAACATAAACTAACATTTCTGTAGTAGATAAGTAAATCAAAATAAAAAAATTAAATCAAATAATATACCTTGCAAACAATAGTAGTGAATAGAATATTACAATAAAATTAAGAATACCCAAACACAAAGTCGACATTATTTTAATTACACAGTGTTCTCTTACTATAAAAGTATAATAAATATCTCCTGTGTATTCAATAAATAAATAATTCTGGTAGTGATTACTAACCAGGTATGCTTTCCAAGTTGGAGAGGGCGCGGTCATGGGAACGCATGAGTTCCTGCAACATGGCGGGATTGCGAGCCAACTCCATAGTCTGCCGCAAAAGCTCAGGGTTGTTCAGCATGTGGCTTATCTCTGGATTCCTCTGTAATAATAAAATGCTATATTAAAACTTATTGTTTGTGTTTTCTAATATTTATTGCAATAACAAAATCTCATAGCCAATAAAATCTAGATGTAAATATAAAAATGGTTTAAACTCAAACTTTTACTTAATTTTATTAGTTGTTCTATTCAACTAAAAGAAAGAAGCTGTGCAGAAAAAATACACTGACTATACTGTTTGAAGAATTTCTAAAAAGAATACTTACTGCCATAAGATCCTGCATCTGTGGGTTGGATGTGATGAGTGTTCGCATGTTCTCGGGGTCATTCATCATCTGTTGCACCAGTGGGTTGTCCAGTACTTGTCTCAACATGTCTGGGTTGGACAGGAGTTCTTGTTGCATACGAGCCTACAATAAGCATCATTTATTATAAACATTGGTTAGTCTTTATGGGTATTAAATTGTATCACAAATTAGGCTAAATGTTTAAAAAATGAGAAGAGAAAAAGTTGTGACCAAAAACAGTTTTTATTTCAAGTCTGTTGCTCACATTACATTCACACTAAACAATACATTTGTAAGTTAATTTCATACCTGTAAATCCATAAAAGTGCTCTGGCCAAGACCCAAACTCTCTAGGCCTGCTAATCCACCCAATGAATTTAAACCAAATGGGGTAGCACCAACATCAGCTGAAATAGAAATAGTTGCAAACATTAATACCTACCAAACTAAACTTTTTGGACAAGCTTCTTCACTCTCATAAAAGTATCTGATAAAGTTAACGGGTAGTTAGTGGCTATATGGCTATCCACAACCTGTGAAGCCAGCCTTTAATCTAGTAAAGGTAGCAAGATGCTAATAAACCTGTTGATATAACCAAGGAGTTCATAATTAAAAACATTTTATGTGTCATGATCATTAATTACTTCATTAACATTTTCACTATACTACATTTCTAATAAGATTTTTCTAGATTTTCATACAAACTTTTACACAATATTGCATCATTTCTGTGTTACTGGCAGAGAAATAATAGCAGTCACAAGCAACAGGATGAATCATTTTATATCTTCATTCATCAGCTATCAATTTTGAGCTCATCAAATAGAAAATAACAAAGAATACTGTGCCAAAGCTAAGAATTAGTGGTAGGTTAACATTTATAATCATTGTCATAGAATGTAATGAATTATGAACATTGCTTCTGATTGATATCATTGATTATGATGATGATTTATAGGAATCAATAGGTAAAACAAATAATTTCTTTAGAATTAAATTGAATGGAGACAACCTGTAGTTACAGACATGCTTCTAATATGTTTACAATTTGGAAAATTCTCAGAAGTAACATTAAATGATATGATAATTGACTTATCCCCATTACATGGAAGTCTTGAATTGATAAGTGTTTAGTCAATCAACACTCATTTCTCTATCTAAGCATGTTGTTAACATTTATATTTGTGTAATAATATCCTATACAGTTAGCCAGTCAATTTGAGAATTTAACTCGTCGAGTACCGGTTTTGTAGACACAATTATAGAACAATAGGTTGCGGTCACCGGTGACCGCTAGGTGTTTGACAGTTTAACCTATTATAAAGTCATTTGAATATTGTTTTTATAATAAAACAGTTACAGTTGTGGTTTGGAACATTCCAATGTTTACATAAACAGAATGAATGAATGGTTCAAGGAAACTCCCTTTTTTACACAAATATAATAATCATGTGTTAGAGGGTACTTGGTATTGCTATCAAACTTGGTTGCACAAAATAAAGAATTTTAGGTACTCTGTATATTTTTCAGTAATATTGACCTTAACATAATGTTGATAACATCAACATTATCATTTTTTTATCAATGAACACAGACATTACATAGACAATTCAAGAATAAGAATTTTGTTTATAATGTTACTTATTAACTGCTCAACTGAGACAATTCAGCACTATAAAAGGTTTTTGTATTTTACAATGTCGTCACTTTTACTTGCCTGTGACATTTTTAACTATCTAGAAACTTAAGTTATAACATTTAAAATATACAATGAAAACGGAGTGATGTCTATCCGTGCAACTATGTGTTAAATAAATAATTTTACATTGAATTATTACTACACCTTTGATAAAATACTTTATTCACTATTGTTCTAACTTTGCAAAACTCAATGTTGCTTGAATACATTAATTAGTCAATGACCTAATTAGAATATTACTTTAACAATTTCCAACATAGCTGTGCAACCATTACAATAACTATTATTTCTTCACAGAACCTTGATTTACACCATTGGACAAAATTTTCTAATTTAGAACCAGAATATTATCGGCCAAGTAAATGCAAGGTTCACTAGCTCTGTTAGATGTAGCACTAAGGGAAATCCAAACCTATGTTTCACAATAATGGCAGGATGTAAGTAATTGAGTACCTGGAGGGCGACGTGTAGCGCCCTCAGGCTCGGGCCTCGGAGGAGTCTTTATCACGAGATGGACTGTCAGCCCGTCCTTGATGTTGTGCTGTTTCAGGGTGTCGGCATCGTTCAAGATCTTTCCGGCAAATATGAGACATAACTGCTCCGGCTCTGCACTGAATTTAGGGGACAACACTTCCTTGAGCTAAAACCAAATAACAAATTCTTATTTACTTTACCGAATATCTAAATAAATGTCGTCAGTGATTGCGTGTGCAATATCTATGTTATTACGCCATGAGCAAAGTTTCTGGCGGCGCCGTACTCACTTTTTTAACGTCAGCATCCTCATCAATCTCTACTTGCTGTTTTTCTTTCGGTGTTTTCACTGTAATAGTAATTTTTTTGGGTTCGTCCTGTCCCTCTGCCATTTTGGCAAATCTAGAATGACTCTGTACTTTGGCGGAAAAGCAGAAATATGTACAAGAATGTAGAATTTGACGATTTGTGTTAAGTTGACGGCCCAGGGTACGGCCCACTTTGGTAAATGACTGAAGTTCCAAACCAAAATCACAAAAACAGATTTCAATTTTATCACACAAAAAATAGAGTTTAATTTGATTGATTCCCACGTAATGCTACGAAGATAGCAAATAAAATAATCGTTTTGTCTATGGAACCATTAATTTTTGTGACTGGACCGGACTCAAAAACAAGCTTAAAATCAAAGACAAAATTGCCACTCGAATAAATGTCTATGGTAAATACAGGACAGTTTGTAACTTGAAATCAACAAATAAGGTTTAATATTATTTTATGCAAATAACAAAATGTAAAATACTGATTTTTCTGCTAGCTTCACTAAAGTGATAAAACAATTTCAGATAGAATGATTCATATTCAGATACTAATGATTATGCGGGTATTAATGACAGTAATAATTTAAAACTTATCAGTAAAAAGAATAATGAAGAAGCCTGCATTTTCAAATATTTTTTCCATATTAATGAATATTTGAAGAAAATAATTAACTTCTAAGGTTTTTAAATAATCTGTCAAATTGCCCCACTTTATTATTACATATTACTATTTTATTCTTTTATTTTGTCATTACTAGTACGTGTACTTGCTGTACTTGTACCTTTTTTCAATGTAATACAATGTAATACACATTCACTAATATTTACAATCAACCGTTTCATTTTTTTTACTTTTTTTAAGGTGCAAATATTTTAGTTAATTATATTTTAAGTTGTATATATTTATTTAATTTAATTCTTATTAATTTGACCATTTCGTGAATATAAAAGTTTATAACATGACATTCTATGAAAAAAGAACTGCCTCTGATTAGAAGTAACAATATTGTATTTTTTTATTATCCCTTTTTCTGTCATGGGTTCACAATGGGCACAAAACGTATTTGATCCCATGTGTCATTTCACTTCCGGAAAACTCGGAAAAGTTTGATAGGTACTGAAACTTGCTGAAACGGAAGTGCCGTATACATTTATTTTGACTTGACAGCTGACATGAAACAAAAACAAAAAACAGTTTCCAATAATGTCTCTCGCAAAATTTTAATGAAATTACTACATAACAAAGTTTGGTAAGAAGAATTATATAAATGTAACTGTGTTATGAAAGTTTGTAATTTAATAATTCTATGGCATAAATTCCTGTTTCAGCGATTTTTAATTTTTGTTTTAGGCCTTCGTTGTTAGGTGACTTATTTCATAAGCACTGAGCGATATTATTGCACGCCGTAGAATGCCTAACACGAGTTTTTAGGTCGTTTATCACTAATATTAATTCATTGCAGCAAATGGAGGTAACTATTATTTAAATATTGGAAAATTAATAGATACTTGTTATGATCAGTTTAATTATTTTATAGGTGGATTTACAAGACACTTTCTTGCGTGAAGAGGACCAACAATCGCAACATAGCTCGAAACAAACATATTCAGTGCCAAACAAAAGGAAAAATGAAAAAGTGCAGGGTAAGATTTTTTTTCCCTATTTTCGAAGCAGTTGTGTTAGCTGTTAGGTAATCAATAAACCTATAAATAATTTAATGTTACAGAAGAGAAAGTGGCAACTGAGCAGCAAGCTAAGGAGGAAAAGGAACAGGCTGAAAACATAGCTTCAATGCTGATTCGTAACTACGACAATAAGTTATACGGAGAAGATGATACATCACAACCGACATCAAGAACAGCCCCCATTATACCTTTGGAAGCTACACGCAAGAAAAAGAAGAGGAGGAGGTACCTCATACAAAAAATATAATGACCTTTTTGACTACTATCTCATAAATAAGTTTGTATAACTGCTTCTAACCCTTTGATCAATATTAAAACAGTAACAAAGGTTTTATTACTCCCGAGTACTGTAAGGCCACTAAAAGTTGTAAGTACTTAAATATGCTGTGCCATCTCTGTCATTTTACAAAGAATTTGTAGTGACAGGACTATATTTAAATGTGACTTAAAATTGAGTGGTGTTTTTGGTATTTCATTGGTTTTGGTCAAAGTAATCTGAATTTCGAGTACTATTTATTATTTTTCCACATTAGATCGCAAATATCAATATGTCTAACAAATTGCCGATATGAGTCAATAAGAAAGGTTGCTAGTGCTTTTGGGATGCGAGAAGTATCTGAGGAAGATGCTTTGAATTTTTACTGGACAGACATGAGCGTTTCTGTGGAAAGAGCAAAAGAAATGAAAAGGTTTCAACGCATTAATCATTTTCCTGGAATGTTAGAAATCTGCAGGTATACTTTGATCTAATTAAGTTATTTATATTATCATGCTTTTACATTAGCTAAGAACTTTTGAATCTCATATTGGATAACATTTTTAGGAAAGACTTACTAGCACGGAATTTAAATAGAATGCAGAAAATTTATCCCAAAGAATACAATTTTTTTCCAAAAACTTGGTGTTTACCTGCTGAGTAAGTATTTTAAGTGACACTAAAGTTATTTATGACCAATGAAAAATGTGTCTTAATACTCCTAATTATGTTGCAGTTTTGGTGAAGCACTAAACTACAGCAAGTCACGTAAAAATAAAACATTTATTATAAAACCAGAATGTGGGAGCCAAGGGCGCGGCATCTATCTAACAAAGTCGCTTAAAGATATTAAACCTACAGACAAACTTATCTGTCAGGTAAGATACACCGAATATTCAATAAGTACTTTTAAAACCCTTTTTTTGAAGAACAGCTCAGTTTACCTATTTTCTCTTTTATTATATAGAAGAAAAATTAATTTTAGAAATGTTTTCCACATTTTAGGTGTATTTATCTAAGCCATACTTGGTTGATGGATACAAGTTCGATATTCGAGTATACACTCTTATAACATCGTGCGACCCCCTTCGCATTTTTGTTTACAATGAAGGACTCGTAAGGTATTAGTAGCTCTCATATTAATAATGGCTACTAATAAAATAATTTTGTAGCTTTCATTTAGTTACTTACTCCTACTAAAAACAATCTTCATTATAAGTAATTTAGTTAAGTAAAACATCATCAGACCAAGAATGTTACCCTGAGGAACACCCTTCATTCTAAATATTTACAACAATACGATAAATTTTATTTATTCTAAAATTAGTCGTCATCTATTTGCGCATTTGTAACATTTAACTTATCTCTGCTATTATAACTTAAATTTACATACTGTAACTATGCTTATGGTTATCGAACGCTTAAGCTAAGTTAGAGAATAAGATATAAAATGTTTATTGTGATAATAATTAAATACATATAATTACTGTTTAAGGTTCGCAACGAGTCGGTACGCAGATCCTAATGTGAATAACACGACAAATGTGTTTATGCATCTAACAAACTACGCGCTAAACAAGCACAGCCGTACTTATGTGTATGATTCAGAAGCTGGAAGTAAACGGTGAGAATTATCTATATAAGTACCTATACATATTTATATTTATTGTATTATGCTTGATGGATGATTATTTAAGTTTGAATTTGATTAATTTAACCCTCTGTGTATATTCCCCATCAATTCTAAAAAGCATTATATATAAACTGACTGTGATGGTCACATGATCAAAAGTTTAAAAGTTGTAAACTTTCACGACCTAAACTTAAAACTAAACTTTCCTCATTTTCACGACGAAATGGATTTCGTCGTGAAAATACTTACTTCCAAATTAAGTACGTATAGATAACTAAATAGGTAATTTCCTGTGACCTATTACTACTTATCTGTCCGGATCGAATCTAAAGTCACGATGAATTTCCATTCATCAGCAAGATATCGACTTTGAACAAGATCCTGCTGTCACAAGGCGTCGACCTGGACAGGCTGTGGCACGCCATAGACCAAGTTATCGTGAAGACAATAATATCTGCGTGGCCAATTCTCAAGCATAGCTACCACGCATGCTTTCCTTCGCATGATATGGTTCTTTTCAGTTTTATATTTGTTTAGCTTCTGAAAGCAGTTTTTGAGTAATTTTTAGCTTTAGTATTGATTCTTTGTACGTCTTTATTATAAAGTTTATTCGGTTATATTTTAATATTAAGGGATGCCATCTGTAACTGGTAAAGATTTTTGGAACTGCTCTCCAACTTTTGAAATATGAAACGATGGCTGGCCTTATTTATTACGGACATTTCTAGAACTTTGACGAAACTAGCCAGTACCTAGGTATTTTAGATTTTTGCGCATTTTCTGTAAAGTAAGTGCAAGTAAATGGTTACTTCTAATTTTATTAAGCTTATCAGTTTTAAGCAATCTATTTTAATATCCGCCATTGAGTTTCCTCTTTACTTTTTTTGGATATCTTCTTTGTGCTACAAATCTGTAAATGATAATATAATAATTGATGCTATTTTATTTTCTTTTTACTCTACCAAAATTATATAATAAGCCCTTAATAGTACAGGACTCTTTTATAGCTTGGCATATTTTTCTAAAGTTATTTATACTTACTACATAATTAGCGTTATCTAGTTAGAACTTTTATAACATCTAGTTATTGTGTTTTATTTTAATTGTATCGTAAACATATTTTTTATATTATTTCGCCCGAATACTGAAAGTCTACTCAATTTTTAAGTAGTACTTAAATATTTAAATTACAATATTTAAATATATGTGTCATTTTACAAAGAATTTGTAGTCACAGAACTATAGTAAAGCGCGACTTAAAATTGAGAGGCGTTTAAGTATTTCAGTGTACGATTTTAGACTATAATTACCCACACGATTATTTTACAGGTGCATGCCTGCTTTGAAATACTGGGCTTCGATATCCTTTTGGATCATAAATTACACCCTTATATACTCGAAGTAAGTTCAGTTCAGTACTCAATTAATTAAGAGAAACGGTACTCATCAGTCGCTAAATATTTCATGATGCATTTGTCAGAAACATTTATAACAATTGAGTATGGCCATGGTCTCAGAAAGTAGTACCTAACTGTCAAAAATTATCACTAATTGACAAATCAGAGCTTAATAAATCTGTAACAATGAATTTATATTATAAAATCGCTCCAGGTGAACCATTCGCCGAGTTTTCACACGGACACGCAGTTAGATCGCGAGGTAAAGGAAGGGCTACTCACAGACACGTTGACTATGCTCAATATATGGCAATGTGACAAGCGAAGAGTCCTCGAAGAGGATCGCAAGAGGATACGAGACCGGCTCCTTCAGACAAACAAGTAAGGGAGCATTCAGTAATATTTAAAAAGTAGAATAATAAAAGGGAAATGAATAAGAAACCGGAAAACCGGGTATAATTTATTTAAAGTTCACAAACTGTTGCAGATTTGCAGAATTTACACCAACAGAGGAGAAAGAACCCGAAAAGAGTCCATGGCAAACACAAATACAATGGGAGGAAACGCATCTAGGAAACTATAGGTCAGTTCCTACAATTTGAAGTAAGGTGTCTTTTTAAAGGTAGGTAATATTTTATATTTTAATAATATTTTTTTTTATATTTTGCAGACGTGTGTATCCGGTGGGTGAACAGTACGCGTCCTTATTCCAACAACCGTCGGGCTCGCTGTACACTGGTACCGCTTCATCGCGGGCCCGAGGAGACTGCACGCGCTTACAGAGGGAAGAATTTCAGGTACTAAACAACATCATCACTCATTCACATTTTTAAAATATAATAAACGAGTAGCTCTACAATTCAAAATATATCTTCATAAAATTCAGCAAACGAAAGCCAAAGCGGAAGCCCTAAAGAAACCGTCTCAACCGAAGGGCTCCAAGGAAGGTGAGAAGAAACCCGAAGAAGGAAGCTCTACGGCTACCGTTGTCACTACAACCACAAACACAGAAAAGTCGACCAAAACAAAAGGTCGCGCCGACAAAGAACAGAAACGCAAAGACAAAGATGACAAAGATAAGAAGCTCAGCAGCAAACCATCACTCTCTCAGCAACCGGTTAGTGATGTCATTTTATTAGAACCAAAAGTCAATGATTGGTTCCCAGATGACGAACGAATTTCCGTCTGCGTTGTCAGAAGCACGGTATCGACCAAAAAGGTAAAGCATTCGTTTAAAAATATTATACCTAGCGTTGAAGATTGGTTTTTCGAGGCTAATCAAAATATAGTCATTAAGAAAACTGAAACAGAAGAATACCAGGTAATCAGTGCACTATCAAAGCAACCGGCTAACGATTTTATTTTAATAGGATCTTTACCTGAAGTAGGTGAATGGTTTCCGGACATTAATCGGGTACCCGTCGTCAGAAGTGATACAACAGGCTGTTATCAAGGGAATTCAAATATACGGAAATCGATTTGCACCGAACAGCCAAGCCGCAACAAAAATCAGAATGGCAAAACAAAAAGCATAAAAGTAAAACGAAAAGTATTCATAAAAAAGTTATTATTGAGTGACTTCTACATTTAAAGTGCCTTCTAAAATTTGTATTCATTTATAAGATAGGCCCAAAATATCACCTCCATTTGTTGTAAACTTAAATGTTAAGTATTTTAGTATGAAATATCGAGAAAACAATAGCAAAACCTAACATTTAACAATAATAATTGAATATAGTTCTGATAATCCTTTTTGTTATGACAAATAAAGTTTAAATTCACCAAACTATTATTTATTTTCTTTTTACATAGTTGAAAAAATGTAGTTTAAGTTATATTTGAAACCACTGAAGTTTGTTACTTATATTTGAAAAACGAACTAGGTGCCCGAGAAAGAGGTCAAGCCTACGTACGTGCTGTGTTCGTTCGAGCCCGATCCTATCGTGGAGAAAGAGGAACGCGAGAGAGTCAATTTGTTGGCGCAGAGGGATTTCCTCATAAGAAGTTACGGCATGTTAGAGCAGGTCAGACATACGCGTGTGAAACTCTAATATACTTTCATTCGAAAAGGATGAAAATCTAAAACTACATTTTACCCACAGATTTATTTAGTCATGAAAAAAATGGGAACGCTAAGGCCAGAAGACGAACGCAAATATGGCGTCTACGGACGTCTGTCAGTAGTTTCCAATTCGCCCAAGGTAAATGTAAATCATTCTAAGACAATGTTCTCAGGCCATTTCATTTGATTCTCTTTGTGACTTTCATTGGCTAACACAATATTTTTGTTTTTAAATATTCAACTATGAATTGGCACTTAGAACATTGCGTAAATAATCCAGAAATTATAGTCAATATGCTAAAATGTTGTGTTTGCCTACAGAAAGTGTGAATGTATAAGCTGCAAGAAAATTAAGCTATAAAATAGAAAAAAATTAGATGTAAGAAATCAAAGAAGGGACAGATATAAATTTTGTGTACAGACCGCCATTAAGAAGACCAAACCAGTCGCACAGAGGCCTAACGATAACGGCGATTACTCGGACAGTGGTGAGTGCACTTCAAAACATCATTAAATCTAGTAATTACTTAATCCTGAACGATTAACAACGTTAAAAGATTTAAGCGACATCTCCTAATATTCACAATGCTATTGTATCTAGAGCTAGTTAATTTAGGTCGCTTACAAACATTTTTGGTTCCGTAACCGACTTGACACTAGGTTTATAGGCTCTAGATCGCCCAACAAACACGTAAACAGTTGTCGCGACCATTTTAAAAGATTATTGATAGCATTTCATTAGTAGTACTTGTTATTTCCAGGACTACAGGTGCAGTGCCGTGACGTTGTGATATACGAACGGCCGTTGCCCGTACTGGACGTTCCAGAACGGTCTACTAAGGCACATCTCGCGCGCACCGCCTACACGATACGGAGAATGAACTCGTCTGTCATTTTTTTACCAACCAGTCTATTATTTATTTTTTCCTTTTGCTAGCAAATAAATTGGCGTTTCTTTTTCAGACTTGTGTCTGCACCGCTGCCCAAGTAAACGTGAGACACAAATAGGACATTTTCAACGCACCAGTGCTGTTGTGTGCATGAGATAAATCAATCATATGCTTCGCTCTCTAGAGCTGGCATTATATAGACCAAGGATAGGTCAATAATAGGGTATACGATAATTATCGTATACTACTACTGAATACATTTACATTACACTGTTAAGAATTATTTTTATATTGTAATTGCTTACGTGTTCATATTTAATCATGATAATCTTAACGTCGGTATCGATTAATCCTTTATTATATTAGATTAATTTTGTCATTGTTTTTTAAATTCTGGTGCATAGAAAAATAAGCTATAACTTGAAATATTATATTTACTACAAAACTGTACTTTTATTTTACAGTTATCATTGTTTTTAATAAATAAAAGTATATTTTAATATCAAATCTATATTTTCTCTTATCATTAAACGTTTTGTAATTAATATCAGCAAGTCTCAGCAGTTCAGTTCTGTCAATTAGTTGAAGTGGTTCATATGCCTTAACAATCACAAAAAAATGTAGAAAATTACAAAACAATACATAAATTGACGTTTTCTAATTACTTTACACATATTGACACAGTTATCAGTGGCTGAAGCAGTCCGCTTATATTGATTAATCAGTAATAAAACATAAAATCATCTGAAATGCTATAAATACAGGGCATTACATCTTAGACTGGAATTATATTTAATAGACACCTCTGTAACATTGCATGTGGTATAATATCTCTGTCAATAATTACATGTTTCTAGCTTTACCTCTAATGTCAACATCATTATAATCAACAATCATTAATATAAGGTAAATTGCACTTTCATTGTACTAAGTCCAGCAAGTACTAAGAATGTCTTAAGTTGTTTGCTAGTCAAAACTGCAGTCTTTTTGCTAAGGAACCACCATCGATGTTTTCCAGCAGTTTCCTCTTCAGTGATGGTTTATCAGCCTCTATTTTGCTAATGTTGGAAGGCATGGGCAGTTTGGAGCCTATTGATGGAGCTGGTTTGTTGCTGAAACAAGTATTTTGTAATTTAGTATAGGTATTAACCGCTTGAATGCCTGTATATGAGACACAATAGAAAATACATTGTATCTCGCGTGGATCCACGTTTAGACACACGACGGGTTAATCAACAATTTGAGCATCGTGGCCGGTGTGGCGACGTCGTGCAGCCGATTGACGTCGCCCGCTCTGTACGCTTCTAAGTAAGAATCCCGTTGTGACTTGAAAACTGGTAGAGCTTGTCTTAGTTATTTCAAGAGAGGTATTTCAAATAACAATTTGCTATTAAAAGTGATGTCTGCATATTATTACAACATACAAAATCATAATACTATGAGTATTGTGAAATAAAAACAATTTCTGTTATTCATAAACCTATCAGTATCAGTAATATTTTACAGTTATCAGAAGTCAGTTTAGTTACTAAACTATATTATAATATTAATTCTTTTATAAACTATGTTTAAAAAACCGACTTCAACCCCCTCTATTTTGAAGTCTCTAAAACATTCTCCTCAGCATAACAAACACTTCCTTTTTTGAAATTTGTTAAAAATCGTAAGGCATCCTAAAAAATAAATCACCTGAAATACGCCATCTGCAATGCCTGCGTGCAATCACACCGATTGGGTGGATAGAGTGCAAGGAGGCTCTCTAGCAGTTGGATGAGATCATCAGACGCGGCGCTAAAAATGTGGCGCAGCTGCTGCGGTGGAAAGTGCTTGAACTGCACATAGTCTGTTAAATTCTTCATACCCTGAAAGCAATAAACAAAAATGACTTACCCAAAATTAAATTAGAGTGGTTTTTGTTTTTTTCGAGACAGTAAAATGTGCTCATCTTAATCTAATAATAAAATAACCATACACTACAATGATTTCCAATCAAATTGCTAATGTATAGTAATTATAGCTTTTTAAAATTGCTTTCTAAATCTCTCAATCTATAATATTGTTTTTTGTTGGGTGGTAATGTTAGAAACTGAATAATTTTATTTCAAACTTAATACTCACTGGCCAAGTTTCTTCACTTGGTGTGCCAAATACTTGGAAGATGCGAGAAAGTTGGTCCAGATCTGACTCTCCAGGTAAGAAGGGTACTCTCAGCAGCAGTTCTGCTAGTATACAACCTATTGCCCACATGTCTACACCTGTGCCATATTGTCTTGCTCCAAACAATAATTCTGGAGATCTGAAATACAGTATACATGAGGTCACAAATACAAGAAGGTACTAGCACAAAATCTTGGATTATAAAAAGATTTGTTCTTTTTTTTATACATTAGATGTTTTATTCATGTATCACAAATAAAAGTTCATTCCTCCGATTGGGGAATGAACTCCCTGCCGTGGTTTTCCCCGTGGGCTACAACATGGGGTTCTTCAAGAGGGGAGTGAATAGGTTTCTTAAGGGTGCGCAAGACGCATGTAATGCCCCAAGTGTTGCAGGCGTACATAGGTCACGGCAACTGCTTACCATCAGGTGGGCCGTGTGATTTTTTGCCACTGTGGTGGTATAAAAATAAATTATAGGTTTCATTTTATTTCATTTCATATTTTTTTTAAATCATAGGCCAGATAAGATCAAAATATTTTGTTTAATGCAAAACTATAAATTGATATTGTATCATTACCTGTACCACCTGGTGACCACCTGATGAGTATTGATTCTGGTTGGAGATCCAAAAGCCTTTGCCAGACCGAAATCACCAATCTTTAGAATTCCTTCCCGATTTATAAGCAAGTTGTTAGGCTTTAAATCTCTGTGCAAAATCCAATTCTGGTGTAAATATTCTAAACCTGAAATAATAAAAAGTGGTATAGAAAAAGTAGAGTTTAATTCACCCTTTCAGAGGTCATCCATCAACAGCCTATAAATGCCAACTGCTGAGCAACGCCTCTTCCCACACGGAGATGGTTTGAGCATTAACCACCACACTTGCTCAATGCTGGTTGGCAACTTCAAACTTATAATTAGCAACTAAAGGCCCAGGTTTCCTCACGATGTTTTCCTTCACCGTTTGTCAGTAATGTCTTTTTTTTTTTTAAGGGGGGAAAATCATCGAATGACTGCTCCCGCCTGGGTGAGGCGGGAGGGAGTGTCAGACTCTTACGGACTAAAAACCACCCCGTTCCTTCTCCTGCACGTCGAGCCGGAGCCCCGGTTACCCGTTAGGTTCTCCGCGACATAATATTAGTATAGATAAACTACACTGAAGGAGATGCTCCCGCCTGGGTGAGGCGGGAGGGAGTGTCAGACTCTTACGGACTAAAAACCACCCCGTTCCTTCTCCTGCACGTCGAGCCGGAGCCCCGGTTACCCGTTAGGTTCTCCGCGACGTTAGTAATGTCTAGATAATCTTAGAAAGTGCTGTTAGTAGGTTTTGAACCTGCACCCTCATGCATGAGAAGCAGACGTCTCAACCTCTGAGCCACCACAACAATTTTAAGAGGTAATCCTACTAGATTATAAATGCATAAGTTTGCATATTTGTCTGTTACACCTCGGAGATAGAGAGAGAAGTATATTATGGTCTGCAACACCACATTGGCTACTTATTACCCCAAGTTAATGCGTTTGAAGCGGCTGGCAAAAGCTGGTAATAAAAAAATATATAGATGTAACACCCTGCTATGAGTCCCATGTAATAGATGAGTTGATTGCTATACACTAGTCACAGGCAAAAGTTCTATTTTCATTATCAGATTTCAAAGTAAATTATTTCTGTTTTCATTTGAGCAGTGGAATAACTGTTTGGATTGTTATAATGTCTTACCTTTTAATGTCATAATCATATAAGCCTTAACATTAGCTGGAGTAAGCACTATAGTATTGTCTTTAACGATTATCTCCAAATCTGTGTCCATAAAGTCAAACACTAATGATACATTTGATTTTTGTCCAAATACATCTGAAAGAAGAAAATAATATATGTAATTAATAGCACTGGTTTTTGCTGAAGATTTAACAAATATAGGATTTTTGAAAATACTAGCAATCCCCGTCTTTTTAACCAACCACTCCAATTCCTAATCTATATTAGTAAATACAGACTATTCAAGTAGTGTGGTTGAATGATAAATATTCATGACATTCTCAGAGAAGTAGAAGTACCTAGTAACTAAAGTTTTACCTAATAATCCAATGAGATTGATATGCTGCAACTCCTGCAGCAACTTTATCTCTCTGAGAGCTGTCCGGTTGATACCATCTTGAGCCTCCAGACGGGAGCCTATCTTGATCTTCTTTACGGCCACAATTTTATCTGTCTTCACATCTCTAGCTTTGTAGACAGTGGCAAACTATAACAAAGTTTGGAGGTTATATTGTTTACTATGTACATTATTTTTACTTGTTTTAGCTCGGCATAGCTACTGCTACAATTACATTATAGTAATTTATAGTATATTACCTGTCCCTCTCCAAGGAAGTCAATTTTTTCATACCGTAGAATTGATTCTTCCATCGTTAAGTTATACTTAATTCACCAACTTAAAATACCACTAAAATCCTTAATATTGAACTAACTATAACTAATCTTGAATCATAACATAATGTTCACACATGTACCCTAAAAAACCTCCGAAACACAATTTTATTTGAAATTTTAGCTACCAATGTTAGCTCCCGTTTGTGGTGATTTTATTTGAAATTTCAAATCTGACAGTTCAGATTATTGTTGATCAAATATTTTTTATGCCAATCAATGTATCCCAACTGGGGGTACTTACTTATTTAGCCACTTGTTTATGGACGTACCAAAAACTAAAAATACTGATGATTATTATTACCGAATATTATTAGTTTTCGAAGTCGGTTTTTTTTATGGATGTACCATAAAAAAAACCGACTTCGAAAACTAACTAGACGAATGAAAAGTAAAAATTAACTACTTTGAGTTTATAATACTTAATGAAAAAAATTACAAAAGGCACTAGACGCCCCTATAATTTAAAAAAAAAATCCTCTCTGCTGCCCTGGTCTACCATCATCAGAACCTGATTTCTTTATCATAGGACCATTCTGAAACTATCTCCTTTCCAGCACAAAAAGAGTTATCAAAATCGGTTCAAAAAGAGTTATCATGCACTTTTGGGCCCCGTATAATTGATACGGCAGATACGGCGCCAGCTAAGCCCCTGTGCAGCATCATAGACAGAATACAAGGACCGTCAAATATGTAATCAAATTGTCGGTGTATTGGTTAAATACTCTAAGGTGTCGATATTATTACGTAGGTACGAATTCCTTTGTAATTTACTTATGATTTATACGAAACTGTAGGTAACTAATTTATGACTGCCCCGAGGAGTCGCTAGTGCGTCTGCCGGGCAAAGGGGTCCCGGGTTGGGCAAAGTATTACTGGGTTATGTTTTTTTATTCTCAGTGCACCGGTATAGGTATGGCAATAGGCTCACCCCCTGTTATAAGGGATGATGGGACTCATAACATTAATGAAAAGTACCATATGTGTTACAATGTATGTACAATGACGTTAAGTGCCGTATTGGTGTGCGTTGCCCAGGCCAGATGTAGAAAATGGTCATTTGAATCTTATAATTTGTTGCGCTTAGTTTTTTAATTATTTCACAAAAACATTTCCTGCTCGGGTAACGTTACCCCAGCCAGACCTTTTTCTTTCTAATGTAAAACAAGGCACAACATTTACTTCATCTAGATAACTAATTTTATAGCTAGAAGAGGGGTGAATAAATGTTGGGAAAATATTCTAACATTTATTCACCTCATTCCTGTACCTATTCACCCCGCGTGCGTTACCCAGGCCACATGTTGTAAAACAAAATAACTTAATAAAATAATAACAATAAAAAAAGATAAAATGCATTCAGAAGAAATTTATTTCAGTAATACGTTTTTTACATTCCACCTCTCAACCTTAAAACTAAATGAAGTGTAGATTCTTTTTGAATATTATAATCTGAAAGTGTGCGGCCATCTTCTAGTTGCTTGCCGGCGAAAATCAATCTTTGTTGGTCTGGTGGAATTCCCTCTTTGTCTTGAATTTTGGCTTTTACATTTTCGATGCTGTCTGATGGCTCAACTTCTAAAGTTATTGTTTTTCCAGTCAAAGTTTTGACAAAGATTTGCATACCACCACGCAGACGAAGTACCAAGTGAAGGGTGGACTCCTTCTGAATGTTGTAGTCGGAGAGTGTGCGGCCATCTTCCAGCTGTTTACCAGCAAAGATCAGTCGTTGCTGATCAGGTGGGATTCCCTCTTTTTCTTGGATTTTGGCTTTGACATTTTCGATGGTGTCTGAAGGTTCGACCTCGAGTGTGATAGTCTTACCAGTCAGGGTCTTGACAAAGATTTGCATACCACCACGCAGACGCAATACCAGGTGAAGGGTCGACTCCTTCTGAATGTTGTAGTCGGAGAGTGTGCGGCCATCTTCCAGCTGTTTGCCGGCGAAGATCAGTCGTTGCTGGTCAGGTGGGATTCCCTCTTTATCTTGGATTTTGGCTTTGACATTTTCGATGGTGTCTGAAGGTTCGACCTCGAGTGTGATGGTCTTGCCGGTCAAGGTCTTGACAAAGATTTGCATACCACCGCGCAGACGCAGGACCAAGTGAAGAGTCGACTCCTTCTGAATGTTGTAATCAGAAAGGGTGCGGCCGTCTTCCAGCTGTTTACCGGCGAATATCAGTCGTTGCTGGTCAGGTGGGATTCCCTCTTTATCTTGGATTTTGGCTTTGACGTTTTCAATTGTGTCAGAGGGTTCGACTTCCAGTGTGATAGTTTTACCAGTCAATGTCTTGACAAAGATTTGCATACCACCACGCAGACGCAGGACCAAGTGAAGAGTCGACTCCTTCTGAATGTTGTAGTCGGAGAGTGTGCGGCCATCTTCCAGCTGTTTGCCGGCGAAGATCAGTCGTTGCTGGTCAGGTGGGATTCCCTCTTTGTCTTGGATTTTGGCTTTGACATTTTCGATGGTGTCTGAAGGTTCGACCTCGAGTGTGATGGTCTTGCCGGTCAAGGTCTTGACAAAGATTTGCATACCACCGCGCAGACGCAGGACCAAGTGAAGAGTCGACTCCTTCTGAATGTTGTAATCAGAAAGGGTGCGGCCGTCTTCCAGCTGTTTACCGGCGAATATCAGTCGTTGCTGGTCAGGTGGGATTCCCTCTTTATCTTGGATTTTGGCTTTGACGTTTTCAATTGTGTCAGAGGGTTCGACTTCCAGTGTGATAGTTTTACCAGTCAATGTCTTGACAAAGATTTGCATACCACCACGCAGACGCAGGACCAAGTGAAGAGTCGACTCCTTCTGAATGTTGTAGTCGGAGAGTGTGCGGCCATCTTCCAGCTGTTTGCCGGCGAAGATCAGTCGTTGCTGGTCAGGTGGGATTCCCTCTTTATCTTGGATTTTGGCTTTGACATTTTCGATGGTGTCTGAAGGTTCGACTTCCAGTGTGATAGTTTTACCAGTCAAGGTCTTGACAAAGATTTGCATACCACCGCGCAGACGCAGGACCAAGTGAAGAGTAGACTCCTTCTGAATGTTGTAATCAGAAAGGGTGCGGCCGTCTTCCAGCTGTTTACCGGCGAATATCAGTCGTTGCTGGTCAGGTGGGATTCCCTCTTTGTCTTGGATTTTGGCTTTGACATTTTCGATCGTGTCTGAAGGTTCGACCTCGAGTGTGATAGTCTTACCAGTCAGAGTCTTGACAAAGATTTGCATACCACCACGCAGACGCAACACCAGGTGAAGGGTCGACTCCTTCTGAATGTTGTAGTCGGAGAGTGTGCGGCCATCTTCCAGCTGCTTGCCGGCGAAGATCAGTCGTTGCTGGTCAGGTGGGATTCCCTCTTTGTCTTGGATTTTGGCTTTGACATTTTCAATTGTGTCTGAAGGCTCGACCTCGAGTGTAATGGTCTTTCCAGTCAGGGTCTTGACAAAGATTTGCATGCCACCACGCAGACGCAGTACTAAGTGAAGGGTTGACTCCTTCTGAATGTTGTAGTCGGATAGTGTGCGGCCATCTTCCAGCTGTTTTCCGGCGAAGATCAGTCGTTGCTGTTCAGGTGGGATTCCTTCTTTTTCTTGGATTTTGGCTTTGACATTTTCGATTGTGTCTGAAGGCTCGACCTCGAGTGTGATGGTCTTACCGGTCAAAGTCTTGACAAAGATTTGCATGCCACCACGCAGACGCAGTACCAAGTGAAGGGTTGACTCTTTCTGAATGTTGTAGTCGGAGAGTGTGCGACCATCTTCCAGCTGCTTGCCAGCGAAGATCAAACGCTGTTGGTCTGGGGGAATACCCTCCTTGTCCTGAATTTTAGCTTTAACATTTTCAATTGTGTCCGAAGGCTCAACCTCAAGTGTTATGGTTTTACCCGTCAAAGTCTTCACAAAGATCTGCATGTTGTCTGTAAACAAAAAAAATTGCTGGTTAAAATCAACATTATTTCACTATATACTAGGTAAACAATTTATGACTCGCTAATCTTTTGATATGAGAATGACTAACAATGACAACACCTAAACAATTGGTTTATAAGCCCTGTCTAGTTTCATTTTACTGTGCAATGTGTCACATAGGTACACAGTAACTTATCATACTCAATTACTCAAATGTATAGATATTATACTAAAGAATCAATAACATGTAACTATTGTTGTTACCTACTAGATAAGGTTCTTATAGAAATAAAAAATGCTTGAAAGTTGGTGCTTGTATAACGGTGTACACGTTGCAGGAAACTATTGCTACAATACTAGCGTTAATAAGTAGGTCGCAGATAAAATAACACGAGAAAATGAGTGACCTACTGCGCTGGCTGACTATCTCGTAATGACGATCTTTTATTGCAGTCAACGTAGTTTTGACGGTTCAGGGAATAGTGAAATCACCATGCAGGCCACAATGCCAAAATTATATGAATCATCTTACCCTATTTAAACTGATGAGAGCAAGAAATGTTACTTTTATTTATATATTTTGTTCAATAGAAAATGAGAATGACGAAGTAGGCACTGCACCGAATAATATTATTTATTTTGTCATTATCAACAATAACTTTAGAACTTGAGCATTATATTTATTGCTGAATTTGTTTTATACAGAATACATGCTTGAATTTATTTAAAAAACATATTGATTCAAGCGAAATTCACTTCCAATGCAACGTATGTAAAAAGTCGGATCACTGTTGAAATCAAGATGGCGTACGATCAATAATAAAAACTGCGTAGTTCACTACAAAACGTATTCACTTTCCATTATCGATGTAGAAATAAAAATTAAAACACTAACATTTATCATATAAAAAGTAACACTTACCAATTTAATCACTAGAATTTAGTCTGTTAAAACACAAAATTTCAATAAAATTGTTATCTCTGACGAACAACTCTAAAAAGTCACACGCTTATGAATTCCTTTTTCAATTTCTCGTTTTGAAATGCGCTGCGAGCACCGATGTACCCTTTTTATAGACACGGTCTCGAGGAAAATCAATACTGCGAACCACACCGAAGATTTTACCGAACATAGCCGAAGCTTAATATGTCTCGTTTTGGCACTCGCGAAAAGATAGAGACAACAAATATATTCTAGAACGCATGCGTTGCTTATTTTCCTTTGTGACGTAAACTGTTTGGTCTGGAACGGGTGGAAGCCCAACAAAACAAAGCGGATTCTGCGTTCTGCGAATCATGGCGATCAATAATAACACAATGTTTCGACACAACATAATGCCGTTATTTTCTGTTATTTATTTAGAGTATTTAGGGTCTTTAATAAAAAACAAAACGAAAATCGATAGGTAATAATTAAGTACCTATCTACTTATTACCTAACTGCCTTGCCTAATTGTAGTTATTAGTTCATTAGTATGTTTGTAGTAATTATGTTATCATAATCACATAGGTAATTTAATTAAAGAAACAACACGAGCATAGGTACCTACTTAGAAATACATGGGTACCTATTAGGTATTACAGGTTGTACTTCTTAATGACTAGCTGAGTATCCCAAATATAACATCATAACTACTAGTAGGGTACCAGGGATGTATATTATTACCTAAGTTGGTAATTTGGTATCAAAATGCCATGCTAACCTGCTAAATGGTGCTATGGTAGGTAAGTACAGAGGAAAATGCTTATTTTGAAAACTGATCATTCATTCAATAAAGGGCACATTTTATTTTAGTCTGAAATTAACCCCGTTTATAAATAGAAGCTTGTTTAATTTTAGATAAGTAGGTACTTAAACTATTCTAAGGTTCGCGGAATAAGTAGTTGAAAACAATAACCACCACAAATTTTTAAGGTCTTATCTATAATAATACCCAATTGGAATAATAGAAAGGAACCTAAACAGTTACTACAGGAATTCTTGTATTTACAGATCTACATAAATGTAGGATATACAGAATTATCGGTTTAGATTGCAGTCAGAATTATCGATACACCTATAGATAGGTATACCTATAGATAGGTGCTCATCGGTAGTTACATAGGATCTGGCTTCTAAGTACCTTATGTAAGTAATACTTAGAGTTATTATTGTTAAGCTAGAAGTAGAATTGCATCAGATACTGTATTCAAGGATACCTAAGTTTAAATTATACCTAGGTAGGTACAAGTATAATATGATGACGGATGACTCATCGTTTTTAAGGGGAATACGTGTCGAAGTGAAATTATTGTGCAATACCTAAAACATTTTGTGTATCACAGTTTAAATTTTTCTCTCCTTCCTTCCTTTTTGTTTGGAATAATATAATAATAGGGTTCAAGGAGATGGAGGTGATGTGGGTTATCTGAAATCTGTATATACATACATTAAGGTTCTACAATCGGTAGCTTTATCACTATACTGAAGTATTTATTTTTTCCGAATCAGACTCCAGACGACCAGACGAGCGAGGCGTGTCAAAAGGTCAATAACCTTGGTGAGGGAGGGCGTCATTGCATTTTTAAACAGTAAATTAAAGATACATATTTAAAGCTTTGGGTTCAACGTGGGTTCAACATTCTTGACACAAAGATACACCTTATTCTGCGTTTTTCAATTGTGATAAGAGAACATTTACAACCCATATGACGTGGCAATCGACCCCGTGGCCAGGGCCGTCTTGGACTACCCTGCCTTTGAGCACACAATAATTCGGGACCCTTTTGGTATGCCCCACACTAGGATTTTCTCCTGTATCATGGGTACAACAATACAAGTTCACATATACATGGCACCCAGACAAAAAACAACAATTTGTGGATCAAACAAAGATGCTCCGTGCGGGAATCGAACTCGCAAAATGAACACTTTGCCGGTTGCCGAGCAAGTGTAGCGGATGTGTCTCCGTCGTAGAAATTGGCGGTCCGTCCAGGCTCCCTAAGGATGGGGGCTCTGGGCACGGGCCCCAAGTGCCCATATGGTAAAGACAGTACTGCCCGTGACAGCCAAGAATAACTGGCACCAACAACAAAATTGGTGCGTACCTAGTTTCAACAGTAGCTTTTGGGGGCATTGGTTTCGCCCGGTGTAAAACTGCGTAGGCGAATGTTTCCTACTGAGATATGTGTAGATTACTCTTTCATCGCAATATACCTATAGACGAACAAACCTGATTAGGCTAAAATGAAAAGTAATATTTTCATGTCAGTCGGCCGATGGTCGGGCGCGAGGTTATTCCGGTCATTATCATAAATACCTATCAAAACAAGTGATGTTTGCATATCTATCTGATAAACAGTAAACAGGCAGACCTCTATCGCTTCCACATCACTCTAGAAACGTAATACGGACATACCTATTCTATTGTTCACAAAACACAATAAAATTATCGAACAATAGCATTGATTTTATAAATATAAAAATGTATATGAATATAGTGGGCCTTCCTGTTGATTTTATACATAAGAGCAGTTATGTACACTACTAGCAATGATTGAGAAAGATATAAAATTATATTTTGCAGTTCTATTGCGCTTTACGTAACAACAAAGCATGATTATTTATTGTCGTGATAATAAAACGTAATAAAATAAATACTGCGACAGCGACCGTGGTATTTTATCCTACCTAAAAACAGGTGTGCAAGCGCCAGGTACCTTGATGCCAGACAAAAACTATACAAGTGTATTTTTATAAGACTTCGTGCTGTTTAATTTCGAAATCCTAAAGTCCATTAACTCGTCGAGTACCGTCATTATAGACACAATTATAGAACAATAGGTTGCGGTCACCGGTGTTTGACAGTTACATGCGGTCACCGGTGACCGCTTGGTGTTTGACAGTTTAATCTAGCGAGCCTTCTTTGCGTGGCGCAGGTTTGATTCCCGTCCGTAAGAAAAATATCAACGATTTGAATTTGTAGGTAGTTGTAATTATAACAGAACTGAACTGTAAATCAAGTAAGGTATCTATCTAAGTAGGTTTAGATACAGTTATGTATGTTACAGTGGGTACTGTCGTGAATGTATGATTATTGCTGTATTTTAACGTTCTACAAAAATATCTAGGACATGTTAATTAATTATTGTTATAACATCGTTATTGAGCAAAGAGTATGCTTCCGACAATCTGATCGTCTATATACGAATCTAGATTTTAAAATAAGAAATATTTTTATTAAATTCTTCATTTTCCCGGATGTTTCGAGGTTGCACGTGTTCATCGTTGCGCACATAGCATTAATACATTATACTACGCGGAACTATTAGGAATAGGTATCCCGTAACTATTAATACCGCACTTTATTCAACGGCAATGCAAGGCTATTAAACCTATGATTTTCACAGTTCGCATCGCCGCAAAAACACTTCGTTTTTGGTATAGTGCCAAGTAAATATTTTGCGTGCGTAAAAAGATTTCCTGGAGATTTTAATGAGGGCATTTGTTTTCAAACGAATTCTCTTATTCTAGGTGATTCAACTTTTTATATGAAAATTCTCTTAAATGTTTTTATCTTTCTTATTAACATTAGGTGCAAAAACTAATGTTTTGTTCGTTAGTAGCTTTATTTGCCCTCAGTCTCTTTTGCCTTGTTTAATGATTTGCCCCAGGGCCTTCTTAGATGACGCAGGGGCCCTTGGGCACAAAACTACGTTTTACGTTGCCCCACACTAGAATATTCTCCTGTTTCGTGGGTGCATTTACAAACATACAAGTTCACATACACATGAAACCCAGACCCGGAACAACAATTTGTGGAGCACACAAAATTTGTTCCGTGCGGGACGGCAACCGGGTGCCGTGCCACTTGTAGCGGGTGTGTGTCGTAGGAATTGATGGCGGCCCTGGGCATGGGCCCACGAGTCCCTTACAAAAAAGAAGGTACTGCTTATGCCTAAATTTTTTATGTGCCCTAAAATCTCCCAGGATCTCTATGGGCAAAAAAAAATTAGTCTTTTATTTTGATTCTAAAATTTTTAGGATGTTATTAAAATTGATGATGTTGTTTATCATAAACATCAAATGGCATTATAGTCCATTCTAAAATACCACGTAAGTCTAGTTGGGGTGGGTACAAATAGAAAAGAATGCATGATGCTACCTCTTTGAATAAAGTAATACAACTGGTTTATTGTTATACAAAGTACCCATCCATGGTATTTATCTTATACATTAATGAATAGAGTTTTGTAACCAAGATGATAACATTGTTATATACTTACTTCATGGTACTTTAATGATACTATTACTGATTACGGAATTAGTTATATCTTTGTTTTGACTATGTTATAGAAATTGGTTTACTTATTTCTTAACTATGTTAGTAATTACTATAATCTAATCAAAATAACTAAACAATGGTAATTAAATTAAAACAACAACATTGTCATGTAGTCTTCAACAGTAATTATTATTAAAATAAACTAAGAATTAACAATATTTACACCAATAATACAAACAACTTTGTAGTTTATGACTATAGGAATAAAGCACAATATGGAATAGTTTCCTAATCACTTCTTTTTTTCTTCTACGGCTTCCCAAGGGCGAGGCCCTCTCTTATTTTCCCAGTTGTCTATGTCAAGTTTCTGTATTTCATCATATGTTTGTTCCAAAGTGACATTCTTATCTTTGTTAAGTCCCATTTTTGCTGCCTCCTCTTTACTCACACCTTTTACCTTAGAAAATTGGTATCTGAAAAGGAATATTAAGAAATTCTATTACTTTTATATCATAAATATAAAATATACCTTATAAATAATAGAAATTGGATAGATGTTTGTAAATCTTAGATTTACACACAACAGATTACAGTACAATCACCTGATACAGATTCCCAAAATTTGATCATACAAAAGAGTTTCTAAACATTGGGAATAAGATCTATAATGGAGTTAGTTGAGAGGCGGCTCTCCTCTCTCGCCACCACAGGTGAGAGACCTGTGGTGGCACCGGTGACCACTTAAGGACTTATCAGTTAAGATGACATTTTACGTACAAGTAATTCATTGATTTAATTACATACAATACATACATACATTGGGATATTTATTCTACAAATACTGGGTAAAGGCATAAAAATTGGAGGAAACTACTAGTACCTATTCATATAAAGGGAAGGATGACAAATAGGCAATTTATTACTAATCCATTATCTCAACATATAAATATGTGTACACAAATATAATTGAGAAATATCTACAGATAACAGAAATCGGTATAGGTATATCATCAACTTATCATTAACATAATTATATTGAGTAATGCATGCTTTTACCCAAGATTTCATCAGCATTTTTGAAATAATTATTTGCTTATCAACATATCCATATTCAGGATATGATCTTATCTCTATTTACTTATGACTTGGCTAATTTTAAACCGATTATTGTTCTAAGAGAATTGAGTGCAAATCATGTTTTGATTCTCTTGCGAGGTCCAGCAATATTGATGCAACAATATTGATTTGTTAAATAATGATTATTTGTACCTACAATAATATTATGTACTTAATTTGTACATAATTTAATATCCAAGTGGTCATACTTAAATACTGGCAAAAATTTAGGTATGATAACAGAAGGAAGCAATGTTAAACTATTTTATATATATATATAATTAGCTTCTGCCCTAGCGACTTCGCATGCGCAATCCCGATATTTCCCGTACCCTTTCTTGATTTTCGGTAAGTAAAAAAAAAGTATTGGGTAAAAAGTATCCTAAGTCCGTCTCCTGGTTCAAAGCTACGTCCTCACCAATTTTCATCCAAATCGATATAGCCGTTCTTGAGTTATAAATAGTGTAACTAGCACGACTTTCTTTCTTTTATATATATAGATTATATTAATTTATTTACATAGAACGATGCCATAGTAAAGGCGCTGTTTTGCAATGACGTTATACAATAGCAAACTGAGGTTATTTTAATCTTATTAGTTAGAATAATACTGTAATTGAGTTAAAAGGGCAAGTATGTTTTTCAAAGAAAGTAAAAATCACCTGATTTGTGTCCATTCTCGCAAACCGAATGATCCTCCAACGATAAATAAAATGAAGGGCAAACCATACTTAAATGATTTCCGTTTGCTTAGGGACGAGAGGTTATTATACATAGAACCTAATCGTGCATTTAATTCTTGCATCGTTTCCAAAATTTTAGGAAATTAGAGAAGATAAACACCGTGACAGTGATATAACAACATAACCTAAATTCTGTTATTGAATTGACAGTTCCATTCCGTCAAAAGTCAAATGTCTACGCAAAATCAGATTTTTTTCTGTTTGATGTTTATTCTGATTTGATAAATGTAATTCATAAACATAATTGTAAAGGTGTAGAGAAAACTATTATATATTACACATTTGTGTCTTTAAAATTCTTCAAAATATTATTTATTAACAGAATAGAGTACCGGAAAATTATTATTATTTCCATGACAGCTATATACAACAAATTATTTGTTTTAGGACGATGGTCGCGACTGTCACTAATCAGCTGATTTCGCCATCTTTCATTTTGTTGTTTAGCGTCACAGTGCGTCAGGCGTCAGCTTCGAGTTTCTTTAAAAATCTTGGCTCTATTTATTAATATATTGTGTAAAATGGTGGGATCTGTAGCTAAGTGATACGGTGATATAAACCATGGCATCCACCAGCCAAGCCAAACCAGTGTATTACGAAGATCCTCCACCCGGTGCTCTCAACGAAGATGAATTTTTCTGTACGGAGAGAATAGTACCGCGTAAAATCAAGCCTCAAAATTTAGTGATACGACTGATGGATAGAGAAATTTACGGTTCACGAAAACCTGGCTCTCACTTTCATGTCGTTCGAGAGTTTTATCAAAACGTGTTTCCGAATTTGACTATTGTAAATGTAGAAAAACCACCATGTTTCCTGAGGAAATTTAGTCCAGATGGAAAGCATTTCATTGCATTTTCTGCTGACCAAACATCTCTAGAGGTATAGACATGATTTTATTACATAAAATTGTCTCTATGCTTTTTAAAAACATACATAAATGGACTTGTAACACATTTTTACAGATTTATGAGTACAGAGGTGCCTCTGCTGCTGGAGATCTAGTTGCAGGATATCCTTCAGATTTACTTAATGCTGACGCTGATGCACACCATAGAATCAGAACTCACATTTTTTACAGGTTTTTTAAGGTAAACATCTTTTATTAACCCAAGACACAATCACATATAAATAAACTTATTTATGAAGTGGATGTATTACCAAATGATATTATGAGTTTTAAATTACTATTTTGTGTCTTTTCAGCCAAAGTTTACAGTAAATGTGTGTCAGCAAAGAGAAGTGCAGAGGTCTGAACGCAATGTTGGCCACATGCCTGTCATGGACCAGCAGTTGAATAGAGAGTGCAGTCTGTTCACCGAGGATGGAAGATATGTCATTGTGGGATCCGCAGCACACATTCCTGATGACCTCAGACCACATTTCTATCATATCCATAGCAACAATGAAGCTGTTACTCCTACTATTAGGTATTTTGTTAAAAAAATATTATAAAACAATCACCTAAGATTAGTTACTTAAAATTTTTAATAATTTTTGTCTTGTTTTAGATCAGCTCTAGAAGATTATTCCCTCCATCTTGTGGACTTACATCAAGGCAAGTTATGTGACACAAAGCATTTCAGAATTGATAAAATTTACCTGTCACACAATCAAGGGATTTATTTGTACAAAGAAGTCCTAGCTGTTCTATCAGTACAGCATCAAACTATACACTTGTTCCAGATTGTTGAAGGCATGCTCATTGAAATAAGAAAAATAGGCAGATTTTGTTATGATGACGATCCGTTTATAGTGAACTCTGTTTTTGTGCCATTAACAAATGAAAGACCCTTTCATGAAGAAACTATTAATAGCCTAAAACACAGATTACTTGTTTTCCTGTTTAAAAGGGCTAAGACAATCAGTGATGAATCTAGAGACCCACTTGAATTAAGGAAGTTTTACAAATATTTTGACATGTTCAAAAGTCTTCGGATGTGGAAGATGCAGTTATTAGATGAGGATCACCTTTTTATAAAGTATGCCAGCGAAGAAGTCGTAACATTGCGTGTGGCAGAACCTAATAGTCAGTCATCGTTTTTCGTCATTTACCAAATAAGTGAAAGCAAAATATTAGAAGTATATGAGAACACATCAGAAGGTCTTTTACAGCTTTTTGAGAATTACTGTGACTGCTTCAGAAATGCCAGACTATGCGCCGACTCACAGTTCACTTGTTCACCATCTAATAATCTTTATGCTAGGCTTACACAACAAAGATTTAAACAAACTATAGTTAGAGCTATTTATGGAGGTCGTACCGAAGCCACGAAGAGAATTCTAGCGCAGCTTCCTATCAGCGCGCAGTCTTATAGTGGATCTCCATATTTAGATCTAGGACTATTCAGCTATGATGACAAATGGGTCTCTGTTATGGAGAGGCCAAAAGCGTATGGAGAATATCCCATAAGGTAACTTGTTGTAACCCTGACAATATTCTATTTTATGTTTATTTTATTCTAATCACAGTTGCTCATTAACTTTTGTCACCTTTTAGATTTTATGCACGTGACTCGGGATTACTAAAATTCAAGATTTACGCAGGCGTTTTAGGACAGTCAGTGCCAGCAAGTGCGCGAAGACTTGTCGCATTCACATTCCACCCAACCGACCCATTCGCCATCAGTGTACAGAGAACGAACTCGGAATATATTGTGAATTTCCATATTAGAAACGCGGTGTTTAGTTAATGCTTAAAATAATTTATGTAATGTTAAGTGTAAAATGTATTAATAATATTATTTAATACTACTGTGTAGTATGTAATTAAAACTGCTTGTTCTCATTTTTATATTAAAAAATGAATCGAGCTTATAAAGCTTAGCTGTTACCTACTTGGCACAAAGGATTTGCTATTTTGATACCAATAACGAAATATATCTATAAATATGGATTCTAATAACATTTTTTATTTGATACAATTCCTAGTGATGATAAAACCAGACAAAGTAAATCATGTTCCATTTTTCACGATTGTAACTTCCCCTATACTTATTCTTTGCGTGATTGCAAGCAAAGGGTCCCGGCATGAGGAAGTCGAGAACAATAGCTTTTTGACAAAGCTGAATCGGTTATTTCCTTTTGAAATGACCTTTAAATAAAGTATGAGTACTCACCATACTCACGGAATAAAAAACAGTTTTATCTATTCCATGAGAAGACTGATAATTATTATCATCGACAACATTGGAGTCTATAGCTGGAGCAAAGCGACTTTAAAAAATCATCAACACGTCAAACACAAAGTCAAGACAAAATGTCGACAGCAATATATTTATAAAAAAATGGATATTTTATCATTAAAACAGATACATTAAAACCATTGGAGCAGTAAAATGTTATAGATATGAGTTAAAGATAGGAAGGACATACTTAGAACCTTAATCATGCAGTGCAACCAATCTTTCTGCGGAAACGGTTTCACCAATGGATATTATAGTTCATGTAACAATAATACACGTTAGTAATTTCCTTACAGACCATTACAAACCAATAATTAGATATATAAGCATATTATCACTCACTTAAGGGGCCAGTAGAATACCAGGGCAAGGCCCTGTCTTGCACATGCTGAACTGGTCCCATTTCACCGCAGACTTGGGACATAAGTAGATGTATATAAACTTATGTGTAAAATCTGTACGTGTCACCTGTTTTTTTAGCGTGTGAAATAAAGTCTTTCTTCCTTTCTTTATGTTATAACAAAACTTTAACCGAAGTCTTGTATTTATTCCAATATCTCGAGATAGACACTGTAACACATCACCCTCCTTTGCCTTAGTCAAAGTAGGAGTCATCGCCAACACACCAACATTTCACTACAAAAAGCACTTAGAACTTATTTAACTTTTTTAACTAAATTTATTTTAGAAATCCTCAATTATTTTATACGTCTAGTCGAGTAAGTACAAAAGAGAATAACATAACTTGCAATGTTGGTAGCTACACAGCATATCTACCCACATAGCCTAACAGGCGTTATTTTTCAAAAATGTTAGTAGAAGTTGGAGATAAATAATACACAAACGAAAATTATTATTACAGCTCTACAATGCACATATCCAGAAATAGTTGGAGAAGGCGAAGTTACCTCAATTACACTACCTGATGGGACAATACAGTTCTTTTTCATGCCGACAGTCAAGTGGTGGACGCCTAACGTGCCTCCATGTTACCCCCCGTACTCCAATGTACGTGGTCCGACGATGTTCAATCCTAACTATAGCACCTCACCCTACAGTATTAATGCTGGAACATGGTTTATTAGGAGTATATCAAATCCGTAAGTAAAAGTAACTAAACAGATGTTTTACAGACGGTGTAATATGGTGTATGTCTGTATAAAGCATGAGTTTATTTATGTGTTCACGCATGCACTAGTGTCTTACTATTTTATTAGTTTGCCAGCGACCCGCCCCGGTTTCGCACGGGTGCAATATTGCACCACATGCATATGCAGGCATTATAAATATAAAAAATCTTCCTTAAGAATCACTCTATCTATTAAAAAAACCGCATCATAATCCGTTGCGTAGTTTTAAAGATCTAAGCAAACATAGGGACAGACAGACGGCGGATAGCGACTTTGTTTTATACTATGTAATGAATCATTATCATAATCGTGTTCTGCTCACTATCAATCATTACTAATGATTGATAGTGAGCAGAACTAACTGTTATTTCTTTCTAAGCGTGTGATTTCTTTCTAAGTATTTCTGCATTCTCCTTCATTCTACTTATAGTTATTCTTCTTAATAGAGTGCCTCTGGCTCAGCCTCCACTTCTCCCGACATGCCAGCGGAACGATGTTCCAAGACTGCGGTTTGCTTCCGATTGCCATATGAACACTGGTAATAATGGATTTCAAGTCAAGGTATGCAGAAACAGGTAACTCGATTTTTTCAAATAAAAATAATAAAATAAATAGATATAACTAATATTTTGTTACAAAATTACAGTTTCACAACGACGGTTGCAGTTCGACTACCGACTTACATTACTTTTACCCCAACTTACGTAAAGAACCACCATGCAAAGGAACAGCCAACGTTCAGATGGACACAGTACCAGTAACCAGCACAGTGTGCCACTATGAAGTTATCTGCGGCAAGCCCTGCAACTGCAACACGGCTG